GCTCGGTGCTTGCTGCCAGGCCCATTCATAAAACTGAGACCTAGAGGAAAAAGGAGGCAGCCTCCGACCCGCCCGCGAGCCGGCAGCTCCCGGACTTTGTGAATGGAGCTGCGGCGCGTCTCTCTGTCCTTCTATAGCGCCGGAGCGCGGCGGAAGCGCAGAGATGGTAGCGGGTGGCTACGCCGGCCTAACCAAGGCCTGGGCTTGCTGGAGGTCTTCGCCTCTGCGATATCCCCCCCACCCCCGCGGCCCAGTCTTCTAGGTCTGGCTCCTTGCAGCTCAGTGGACCCGGGCGCTGTGTGGCTGCCACCCACAGAGCTTGGGACCTCCTCTCGCAGGACTTAACCTTGCTCTTGGGATCCTGCCGGTTGTGCTTCGTTTTGTTTTTAATGCGATTCCCCAGACGTTGGTTTTTACATTAGCGTGATCGATTTCCACCCTGGCCTATTTCAGCTTTATAGTTTCCCGTGGAACATGGGCAAACTCTGGCTTAGAAGATGAAAGGGAAGATCCTCGCGCCAAAGCCCAGTAACAAAAGAGAAGTGTAGAGTTTGTTACTTTACAACCCAGAGGGGGGCGTTAATTAGCCGAATGGTATGCCTAAGCTGGAGAACTGGGCCGCACTCCGGCCCAAGCTTCCTATAACATGTTTAACCGTGGTTGGGGAGGGGAGAACACCCCGACGTTTTCCTCTTCGCAGGAAGTCCTCCCTCTCGGACACACGCGAACTGTCCTCTCAGGAAATGACTATTAGGGTCCACATTTGGTGCTAAGGAAGGTGCCGGAAAGTGTCCATGCGAAGACTAATCTTTTGAACGAATTTAATAAGCTCAGAGGCGATTCGAGTTTCTGCATTCCCTCTTTCTAGGTCACGTAGTGTCCGCACCCGGGTTTTACTTTGCCAGAGGCATTTAATTTCCCAAGGGCTTTTTGGCAAGAGGGGAGGTTTGTGCACGCACACGGTGGAGACCTTTCAGAAGCCAAAAATTATTCTGCCGAGATCTTGCCAAGTCTTGTTAGCAAGAATTAATCACCGAACGAGGGAATTACGGGGTTCGCTCGCGGCCTTGGTGGTAGCGAGGACCAGTATTCCATTTCAGGTCGCGGGTGGAAGAGGGCGGCCGAACCCTCAAGGTCCTTTCTGCCCACTTCAGCTCTCTAGCCTTGCCCTCTGCTTTGTTCCCTGCAGAGCGGCTCACACCCAGCACCCATTTCCAAGGCCTTCTACCTACTCTTTCCTCGAGCACTCTGAAGTCCCCGACACACCGATCTGGGTCCAGTGGGCTGTATGGGGCGCTGATCATCCGTGAAGATATTTCCATTTAGCCTCAGGTTCCAAAATGGTGCTACCATGTTTCTGCCTTAAATTTTTAATTTTGTTCATGGATTTTTTTCAGTTAAAAGGATAAATTATTACGTGTGGATTAGTTTGTTGCTGCCATTTTAAGTGACTCCCATTGCACCTTAAATTTTGGTGCCTGGAGTGAGTAATCACACTAATCCGGGCTCCGGAAGGAGCCACAATAACAGACTGACACAGGCTGACTGGGGCAGGGTCTGGGACACCGGTCACTCGGGCTGGGAGGGCACCAGTAAGGAGGGCAAAGGGGGCTTGGTCCGGTTTCTCTGGCTGCGGGAACCGGGGTTGGGGGGAGTGTGAGGACATCTAATGCTGCTTCTCCCGCTAGCCCGCCATTGGTGGCCCTGCCCTAGGCATCCCTGGTGCCTCGATAGCCGGAGCCAGATTCGCTGTGGGCAGGGAGGGGGGCGGGGGTTCCCCGCAGTTTACAAATCCAGCGGGTACCAGGCCTCAGCTGCCGCAGCAAAGAAACAGACTGCTTTACAAAGGTTTTGACACAACGTTTCTCCAAAGAGTCTCAGTCCGAGCCAGGTCTGGGGCCGATTTTACACGAGTTACAAGAGTAGCATGGGGGTGATTGGTGGGTTGTCCCCAGGTGGCACTGA